TGCTGATGAAGTCAACAGCACTGGGAGGCCTGTGTTCCTTTCTGTTTAGCAATCCTGCTCTGCAGCTCAGAAGGCTGTCTGAACAACTGAAGATGTTTCTTTTCTAGATAGAGCTATTTCCCTAGCTGGCTCAACCTCCAGTTCTCACCACTATTGGTACTGGCTCCCTAACTCAGATCACAGTAAAAACTTCTTTGGCAGAGAAAGTTTTCAACTTGTAATAATACAGAATATAACGAATAATTAGTGACTGCCAACTTCATGAAAGCCATACCTCAGATTCCTACCTTTTTGATATTGGGAATTTACTAAGAATAGTATTTTTCCCAGATCTTTAAAAACTACAGTTAAGTAGTTTTTAGAAGGAATGTTTCATAAGCTTACTATAGACTTGAGGAAAACCAAGACAATTTAGTACTTCAGAATGGGAATTACACAGATTCTCTGAGATCATCAACTTACATTTTGGTGAATTTGACTTATACTTTAAACTTAAATCTTGTGTAAATAACTTACCTTGAGCATATCCTAGCTGAAAACAAAGTGTGGTATGTCCTCCTTTGTACAGACAAGTGTTCTTGCAAATCATACTGAATTTCCTGCTGACCAGGATTTCCTTCCTTCCCAAGAGTTCATTCAGTTAATACACAAGGTTATATTACTAAGGCATTCCTCCACAGATCACACAGCAATGGTCATTATACATGACACTAGTTTAGGCAATTTGGAGTAGGATACTTCTTTTTTTCTTTTTGTAAAACTCTCTAAAACTGTTAGTTAAAGTATTCCTCCCTTACATTATAGTAATTTTAAACATTTGATAAAAATTCCTACATAAATTTCTTCAAATTTTCAAAAATTCATTTAATATGCTTTTAAACTAGAATAATTTGCTAGTTATTTCAAAAGTTAACTATCCAGTCAGTTGAACAGCTGATTTAAACTTTAAATGTCACACTAATCAAACTATAAAGGACTGAACTTAAAGGAGAGTACCTGCAACAAACCTGTATATAAAATATACAATCTTATTTTCTTGTCTTTCAAATCTATTCCAAGATTGAAGTACTGTGTTTGGAGCTTGTTTTCTTAATCATCAATCTTATCACTATTAACCTCCTTCAGCAGGGTTTGTATGAGATAACAACAGCCTTTTCTTTCAAAGAAGCCGTTATCACTTTCCTTATTTATGGAAAGTGATAACTACCACAAAAAACAAACAGTTTCTGTACAGCATTGCTAGTTCTTCACTGCTTATAGAGATGAATGAAGAATGGGAAAATATATTCTAGATAGTAAAACCACCAGCACTTCAAGGCACAGTAAGGAAAAAAAAATCTGAACAACATGATTATTATAAAAAAATAGGCTATCGTTTAGATAGTACAGATTTATTTGAAACAGATTTAATCTTCATAAATAATAGTTGATTCTAAAATCTCTTGACCTGGACAGTAATATTTGAAGAGTTAAAAAGAAAAAAGAAAGAATTTCAAAATGATGCTAAAGCATTGCATTTTCCTAATGATATCAGAATGGTTCAATTTTGAACCTACAAAAAGCTGAGAAGTTTTATCACTACAAGCAATTGACTGTTTCCATGAGCCTCTTCAAAATGATAAATGCATCTCAGGTTTCTGTTTATTGTTTTTAACTAGCACTCCAGCTTTGAACAATTTGCTTTAACTAGAGATTTTAAAGCTGTCAGAATGACTGCATTTTCAACACAGGAAGACTGACACATCCCTCCTCCAAGGAGAGGTTGAGTGAATTTTGACTGTTCAGCTTGGAGAAGGCTCAGTGGGGATCTCATTAATGTACATAAACACCTGAAGGGAGGGTGCAAAAAGGATGTAGCCAGGCTCTTTTCAGTGGTGCCCAGCCTCAGTACAATAGCCAATGGGCAAAAACTGGAACACAGAAGACTCCATTGGAACATCAAGAAGCACTTTGTTACTGTGCAGGTGACTGAGTTCTTCTCCAGGAAAATCTTCAGAAGCCATCTGGGCATGGCATCCTGCTCTAGAGTCCCTGCTTGAGCCGGGGTTGGACCAGATAGACCCAGAGGTCCTTTCCAACCTCATCCATTCTGTGAAAGTGTGAAAAATAAATGCAAATCTATTAAACAAACAAAAATAAAATTTTAAAAAAATTGTAGGCTTAAAAGTAGAATAAGACAGAGAGCTGAACGTTAAAATATAGAAGACTTCCCTTTAAAATTATCACAGTGTGTTCATTCAGGAAAAAGTCTATGATTTGGATGATTTGGGAGCTATGATTCAGTAGTAATCCAAGTCTAGCCATATAAAATTGCCCATTTCACAACATGAAACTCTGCAGGTAATAACTGCAATGCAATTTCCATTTTGTTCTGCATTAACCCAGGTAGGCAGCTAAACACCACACATTCAGTTGCTTACTCCCTCTGCTTGGTGAGATGAAAAAGAGAATCAGAAATGTAAAAGTGAGAAAATTTGTGGCTTGAGATAAATAAGATAAGATTAAAATAAAATAATAATAATAATAATAATAATAATATAATAAAAATAAAATAAGATAAGATAAGATTGATAGATAAAGTTAAAGCCACATATGCAAACAAAGCAAAACATGGAATTAATTCACCAGTTCCCATTAGCAGGTAGATGTTCAGACACATTCCTGGAATGCAGGACTTCATCGCATCTAACAGTTATTTGGAAAGACAGAAGCCACAACTCTGAAAGTCCCTCCTTTCTCCTTCTCCACAGCTTTTATTGCTGAGTGTGATGTTACACAGTATGAAACACCCCTTCGGTGAACTGGGGTCAGTTGCCCTGGCTGTGTCGCCTCCCAGCCTGTCATGTACCCCCAGTCTCGACAGTGTTTGAGAGAGCATAAATAACAGAAAACTCTAACTTTGTGCAAGTGTTGCTCAGTGCATCTGCTCCAGAACATCACTGTATTATCAAAAATGTTTTGGTCACAAATCCAAAATACCACCACATGAGCTATTCTATCCCAGCCAAAAACAGAATAGCTACCACTAAAACCATTTTTTTTTTTTTTTTTTTTTTCTCTGAGGACTGTAAGTAGTCAAATTGTGATAGATCATTATAAGTAGCTTGTAGATCAGTTTATCTAAATAACAAATGACCCTTAGTCGCACCGATAAAAAAAGCTGAGCTACCAAGCAGCTAGTAAGAGGATGTCGTAGTTCTTGCAAAGCGTCCCTATCATGGCAAAAATATATATATATAAATAAATGCTTCTGTCTCTGGAAAGTAACTTATTCAAAAGAAATTGAAGTTTTATTGGTTTGTATAAAAAACATTCCAATCTTTTCTGTTTGTAGCCATATACACTCATGGCACGTGGTCCACCATTGAAAGGACATCCAGAACAAAACAGGATTTCATTTTTCTCTATATAACAGGGATTCTGCGTCCACAAAGCTGCTTCAGTTTAGATTAGGGGCTATTTCATCTTTAATTCATCCAAATATCCAGGTAGTAATACTAAGTTTAAACTCCACTTTTGCCATCTTTCTAAGTATATCTTTTGAGTTGCTCTTATACTCCCAGAGGGTGTTTAAGGCACAAACAAAACAGGAACACATCTATTGAGTACAGAAATATGTCAATATTTTGCTCTAGGGAAAGATTTACATTGAGAACACACAAGAAAATCAGAAAGAGCATTGCTTCCTACAGCCCATGTTTCTCACTGAGGATACTGAAGATCATTGCTGGGGTCAAACATACACCAACAGTCACTAATGGTCCTCAGCATCTCCATCTGCAACCTCCCACACACTGGCTCCTGTTAAGCGCAGGTACTGAGGGCTCTTGTTCCTTGCCTCAGCTACACTGTAGGTTTAGATATCTCCAGATGCACTTCCTGATGGGATAGCAGTCCTGTCCCACCTCCTGGATGGGCCCCTCAGACCTAGGGTACAGGTTTATCTTTAGCCCCATCCACTACTCTTCATAACTGGATCTGCTAGGTGGATCCCGGGTCTGACAGATTGCTGTCAATGGACCTGGCACCTATTCTGTGCTCTGGTCAGTGAGGGCACTGCCTGCCTGTGCAGCACTCATCCTCAGCTCCTGGAAGCCTTCAGCCGCTCCCTGCTAACAGTCTGACTTTGTCCACAGCAAAGCACAAACTGTATTAGCCAGGGATAAGAGCTAACATGAGTTTCTGCACATGAGGAGACACAAAGCGGAATATATTTGTGGAAAACACCACTGTATTGAGGGCCCCCTCCAGCACAGGATATGGGATCACTTTTGTGTGTTCTTAGTTTTCTGTGTAACACAAGAAACTTCCTCCTACCTAGGCATAAATGTATCCCAGCTTTCTCTCATGGGTAACTCTGTTACCCATGCTGTAATCCGTCCTTCTCTCAAAGACAGCCCAAAAGCAGGAGTCTCAAGTGGTTCTTTCATTAATTCTCCTTACGACGGTCAGCAATAAATTACTTTTAAAAAGAAAAGTTTGAATGAACACATCGCCAGAAGCTAGTTTGTTCTTATCTGAGAAGCGTATCCTGGTCCCCAAACCACGCTCCACCCCAAGATTTAATTCTTCATCTGTCATATAGCGGGGATTCAGGAATCCCACAGAAGCTGAGACTGCAGAAACAAAGCACCACGTAACAGCGCGGGTGAAAGACCACGCCAAACCAGAGGCAGACAAACCAGCCTGCAATAAAAATAAAAAAATAAAAAAATACACGCACGACGAGCAGAGAGGAGCAATAATTAATTACCGGCTCTCGAGCCGCGTCTCCGGGCACGGCCCCGCAGGCGGGACCACACCTCATCCCGCACGGCAGCACCGCGCGGACATTCGTCCCAGCGGCGGGGCGGGACGGAGCGGACGCGCGGTTCCCCAGGCACCACCCCTTCCTCCCTCCCACCGGCCCGTCCGCCGCCGTCCCGGCGCCCCGCCCCGCCCCCGCCCCGCCCCCTGCCCTTTGCCCCCCCGCTGTCCCAGCGCTTCCTGTTCTCAACCACGTGGGCGCGCCGGCCGCGGGGCAGTGCGGTGGCATGGCGGGCGGCGGCGCGCAGTGCCTCAGCTTCGCGGGGTGCAACTTCTTACGGCAGCGGCTGGTGCTGTCCACGCTCAGCGGGCGGCCGCTGAAAATCCGCAAGATCCGCGCCAAAGAAGAGGACCCCGGTCTCCGCGGTGAGCGAAGCGCAGGCGGAGTCCCTAAGGGTGCGGGGTGGAGAGAGTGGCGGAGCCGGGCGTCTTCTCGGGCGCTGCCGCGGAGGGCGGACCCACCCGCTGCTCGGCCCGCCGCTGAGGAGGGATCCGGGCGGCGAGGGCCGGGTTTCGGCCGCGGGATGTGCCTGCTCCGTGCCCGAACGGGGTCACCTGCGGCCCGGGTGAGGATCACTGTCCTGGGAGCCCGCAGCCGTGTGGGGAGCCCCGCGGCGGGCAGCCCTTTGCTCACATGCGGAGCCCTTGGCCCCAGAATGGATACTTGCGGTGTACGGGGGCACGGTGGGGCGCGCAACGGCTTCGGTCTGGATTTGGGTTTGTGTTCAGTTGTGGGCGTGCCTCTTTGGTAGGTGTCGCCGTTTGGGTGTTGGTAATCCAACGTGCAGCTCGCTCAGCTTGTGACCGGAGTGTTTGCAGTGAAAGCCTTCTGCGCTCCGAGGGCCTAATGTGCTCACGAGGTTGCACTCCGGTGCATGTCCCATCGCTGCTGTGTGAACTTTCTCTCCGTGGTGACGGAGAGCAGGACCAACACTGTGTGACTGGGACACCAGCAGTGCTGTGTAGATATTGACACACTGCAGTTCCTGCAAATAGCTCTTTCCTTTCTTAACTGTATCCGAACAGCTTGTACAGAAATAAAACATCAAAGATCACTGCTTGGGAAGCAACAGAGTGTTATTGATCGAGAAGTCCTGCCACCCACTGACGTGGGCATGTGCACTTGGTCCTTGAAACTGGCCGGGTTCTGAAATCTGTGTAAATTCAAGCTCTCCTTTATATTAAGCCTACACCAGCCCGGATCTTGGAATACTTCAGTACAAGCACTTACTTAAGATATGCTTGTTCTTTCCCACGTCTGTTAGCAGGAACTCATACAGACAGGAGAAACCAATTAGCACCACACAAACTTCTGTAATATAGACTGTAAGCAAAAAGAGAGAATCACAGAATGGCTCAAGTTGGAAGGGTCCTCAAGGGTCATGAATCTCCAACCCCCCTGCCACGTGCAGGGCCACCAACCTCCCCATTTCATATTAGACCAGGTTGCTGAGAGCCCCATCCAGTCTGACCTTGAACACCTCCAGGGACAGGGCATCCACGACCTCTCTGGGCAGCCTGTTCCAGCACCTCACCACTCTCTCGGTAAAGAAATTCACCCTGACATCCAACCTGAATCTTCACTCCCTCAATTTAAAACCATTTCCCCTCATCCTGCTGTTATCAATCCTTTCAAAGAGTTGATTCCCCTCCTACTTATAGGTTCCCTTCAGGTACTGAAAGGCTGCAATGAGGTCACCCAACAGCCTTCTTTTCTCCAGGCTGAACAAGCCCAGTTCCGTCAGCCTGTCTTCATGGGCGAGGTGCTCCAGTCCCCTGTTCATCTTCGTGGCTCTCCTCTGGACCCTCTCCAACAGCTCGCTGTCTTTCTTGTACTGGGGGACATCACCTCCAGAGAGGTGATGGGAAGAATTAAGTGTTTGTAGTCTTAGCAATGCCATTGATAGTTTTGAAAATGGAAAACTGGAACATCTTCAGTTAGCTCCTGGTGCCCGTGCTTCAGTAGCGCTTCACATCTGAACAGCAGTTCTAAACTATGATGTTACAGAGGATAGTAGGAAACTGTTATTAGCTTGTTGTACTTGGGGTTTTACATGGGCTAAGATTTGGCTAGGATTTGTACGTACATGCAAACATTACCTTTATTGTAAGCAAAATGTAACTTGTCAACAGCTTTATCCTGGGTTTAGCTGATCAGATGCACCAGCTTCTGTCATTTGCTCTCTACTTTCTTTATGCAAAGGAAAATGTTTAAGTCTGGTATGCTGAAGTTTCTTGCTGTTTTCAGGAGTAAATTTAAGTAACTATAAGATTATTTATTTGTTCTACTCCTCAGACTTTGAAGCATGCTTTATTCGCCTTATTGACAAAGTGACAAATGGCTCTAGGATTGAGATAAACCAAACAGGTGAGATCTGTTTTCTCTTCTTCCTCTGTTGCAGTCTTCCAGACTCTATCACTTGAAGTAAAAATTGCAGCTTGACAGGTAGATGTTTAGATAGCATTGACTCCATGAATTAGATGTTAGTAAGCACAGAAGCTTTTTAGTAAAGGATTACATGAAAGATCATGCATCTCCAGAGTGCAGTGCACTAAGGGAGGTGCATTACTCAAGACTGAGGGGTGATATTGTATTTAATATGTAGGATCTCCTAGCAGAGGAGACTCACTGAACCAAGCAAGGTTTGTACTTGCCAAGTCATGTTCCTAAGAGGAGTTACAATTACTTTGATCAAGAAGCATCCCATGTAGGACTCTCAGCTGTCTCTATGATGTGTAGATTTTCAGGACTGGTTTGTCAGTGAAGTGGATAATATGTCACTGGATAAACTGAGA